TTGACAACCTGCCTACGCGGCGATGCTCTGTGCAGGTCTGGGGGCGCCCCCAACACCAGCGCCCCACGAGAAACGCTATCCACCAGCCGTCTGGAATAAGAGCATATATCAGGTTGTAATGGGGCAAACAACATGATATTTATACCTATGTTGCCTGGCTTTTATGCGTTGTAAAGTGTCCCGGTAATCCTTGTGAAGTGCAGAGCCGCAATAAAGACAGCACGCCGAGGCGTTGAAAGCCACCATGCCGTCCACACCCGCAAGGCCACGCTACCTGTAACAACGCGCAGCGACTCGACACCTGTTGGGCAGACGGCAGCGACCGTCAGCGCCATCAAATTTGCACATGTACCCAAGCAGCTGTGGATTGGCAGCGCCTGCCCGGCATCAACAAGCCGCAGACTGCAGCGGCAGCAACACAGCCTGAGCCCTGCTGCCGTTTCAGTGCATTTGTGGCCAATGCCCAGTCCCAAGCAACAGGCAGCCGCCAAGAAACACCCGCAACCGGCCCGGGTTCATCGGACGAGATGCACTGGTCGCGCAAGTGAGAAAGGATGCAGACAGGCAGAGTGATGCCCTGCACTGCTGCCGGCGGCTGCTGTCAGTGATGTCACTGGGTCCCGCCCTCAAAAACAGCTCGATTGTTCCAAATCGTTCTGCTGTCTCGTCTTTTGTGCCTCTGCCCTGATTTAAAGCACGATGCGCTGTCCGGAAAGGTGTGTGCTGTGAAAATTCAGCCAGCAACCAGCGGGCGGTGGCAACCCCAAGGACCTGCACACAAATGCACTTCTGCATTGTTGACGCCGCTAGCTGTGACATCAGATATGAAATGCTTGTGCCGACTGGGGACGCCCCGTGAGCCGCGCGTCACTCCGCCTGCCTCATCCAGCGCGTTGCGATCCACTTGTCGCCCCCCCGCACCACCTCAGCCGCGTGGATGGAGGCGACGTCCTCGCCGCCGTCCGGACGGCGCGACCTGTGAGATGGTTGTGGGGCGTTGTCGCACGCACGCAAGAGTACCTGCAGCGGCTGGGGCTTCAGGGCAGCAGAGGCGCAGGGCCGTTCGCATGAGGGTGAACAGGTGACGACTGCCGTTGCACAAGCAACAGCAGGTGCGAGAGTGCAGCCCCTGGACAGCCACATTGCCCCACACATCAGATGATCATCATCAACGTAGTGTTATACGTGTGTCCTACCCACCAGAACAGAACGGCGCGGCCGCGCCGCGGCAGCACCCTGATCCCCGGCTCCCCCCATTCTGAAGCAAGCACCCCCGGCGGCAGCGCGGCACGCCTGCGGCCGCCGTCGCCACTGCCGCCAAACTCGCCGCTTTCAGGGGCAAAGCCCTTCGCGTGAGCTACGGCATCAGGGGCGCTGTCTCGCAGCTGCTGTGCGGCTGCCGGCATGCTGCGTCCGGCACGGCTGGGGATTGGGTCATAGGCCCTTGACAGCACCGCTCGGGGGAACAAAGTAGCACCGCCCTGCATGGGCATCCATGACACATAGTGCTGTCAATTGTAAGACCACTTCTGCCCCACACGGGGCCGTTGTGTGCAGCTGGCCTGACCTGAGCAGCTCAACAGATTCAGGCCTTCTTGCTGGATGCCCCTGCTTGCTGACAGCTCAACAGCCAGGCCTCAGCAGCTGTGGTGCTCACCTCTTTCGTGTCCTGGAGGTACACAATGATGGTGGCATCGCGGGTCAGGGGTGCGCCTGCACGGTTGTCATAATGCTGGAAGGCCGAGGCAAGAGCAAGGCAGGGATGTATCTCAGGGCTGCAGCGCGGGCGGGGGTCATTTACTCTCCCATATGGACTGGTGCAGGTGCCACACTGGGTTGGAGCCCAGAGCGCAGCGGTCATGAGAGCAGGAAGCTAGGGAGGGACCAGCACCGCAACATGTATGCAGTTGGTGCGGTGCGAATATCACTGCTAGATGAAGGGGCAAGTGCAAACAGGCAGTACATGCGGCCCCCTAGCAGCAGCACAATGACGGGCATCCTCCTGAAAAAACACAATACGGAAGTTGAGTGCGTGACAGGCATCAATATCATAGCAATACCGGCTCCAGCCCTCATGCCTGGAACCTCCCGACCCCCTTGCGCACGCGCAGCACAAACCTGCTCATAGAACTCTCCCTCGTGGTACTTGATTACTGGGGGTTTTGTGCGGCATTGTGGGCGTGCTTCAGTGTATGAGTGGAACGCTGATCGCAGGGTACACATCACAGGATGCATATGGCGTGCTTATACACAGCGTCGCATGGTTACCAACAGGACAGGGCAGGGCAGGGAGTGCATTTGGTGGTCCCAAGCCCCCCCCCCCACCAAGCAGGCGAGTTCCAACTTGGTCGGCCAAAGCTAGCACCTACCCACCCTGCAGCGCCTGGGTCTTTTCCAGCCGCGGCCGGCCACCCAGCACCGCAGGTGCTGCAAACAGCGCCTGAATGGAGGCCTCGGCACTCCTGGTGTAGAAACATGGCAAATGGACATTTACTCGGCACCCTCGATTCAGCACTGATGTTGCCAGCACGGCAGCGCCCCAGGTGCCGCTACACCCCCTGCAGCCCGTGCCTCTCAACAAACCAGGCCATACTCCTGCCCGACTTCCCCCATGGCTTCCACACTAGCACAAATCAGGCTGCTCGACGGGGAGGCGCCCATCAGCCTGTCAGCACCTCCGTCGGCTCATCCCGCCCCTCATCCGCCACCACCAAACAATCAATCTGAGCACCAGCAGCCCACCTGATCAGCGGCGTCTCGGCCGCGTCCTTGATGAAAAAGTGGCTCCACGAAGTCCTGGAGGGCGTCTCATTGCCAGACGCCACCCGGCTTCTCGTCAGCTTCGGGCCAGCTGCCGCCATCAGCGCCGCGCACATCTCATCCCCCCAGAAGCCGTCAATCAGGAGCAGCCGGGGCCGGCTGCTGAGGTGGTGCAGGATGAGCGGGGCCCCCGCACTCGATGCAGCGGCTGCCGCGTCTGCAGCGGCGGCCAGGGGCGGCGTGCATTGGGGCGGGGGTGGCGCGGGGCCCGAGGGAGCGGCGCAGGGGCTGCCGGCGAAGGTGGCCAGGACCGAGCTCTGCGGGGACGCCAGCCCCGATGCCACGGCGGCGCTGCCCGCGGCGAGGATGGCAGGGAGGGGCCAAACACGGTTCCCCGCAGCCCCATGGACTGAAGCTGAGGCGGTTTCGGCCGCAGAATGCGCCTCCGGCTGTAGCTGCGGCTGCGAGGGCGTCACTGGCACCAGGTCGAGGCTGCGGAAGGCCACTGTGATCTTGACCAAAATCGAGGGGTCAACACCTCCGCGGCCGAGGCTGTCGCTGGTGGTGCCAGCTGCAGCGGCACCAGCATCTTGCCTCTTGTCAAGGTGACCGGTGCGGCGGCCCGCTTGCTTGCTGCTGCTGGTCCCAGCGCTGTGGGGCTGCCGAGCGGCGTCGGGCGCTGGTTGCACGTCGGTGGCGTCGTCGCTGACGACGGCGTTGCCAGGGGTGGAGTAGGCTTCGATTGATGGCAAAATGGGGAGCTGGAACTTGCCTATTGACCCTGCGGTTGATCATTGCAGTGGGCGATCTCCATCGGTTTGTGCGTGTGTGGATTGCAGAGTGGAAACCGTGGTACTTGAGCTGAGGGTGACAAGGATTGCGGGCGCTGACACAGCCGCTCCGTGCCGCTTTTCCGCTCGGCCCTTGAGGCAAGGCATCGCCTGCAAAAACTCGCTGAAAAATGACACAACATCAGACGCACGTGCCACGTGAGACACACGTACACGTCAGGTCGGCCGATGATGCGGGCTTGGGTACCTTGCTGTCCGTGATTACGCCCACCTACATACCACCATGAGTACCCCCAACTGAGGCACTGGAGCTGGTCAAAACCCCGCCCGGGTCCCCACATGCTCCCTGGTATCCAAACCAGATCTTGAGCACGCGCACTCACGCTGAAGCGCTGCCGCATCTGTGGCGCCCGCCAGCAGCCCGGCCACGCCAGGTGGCGCAAACACCTCGTCAAGGGGGGCCAACGTGACGGCCTCGCAGCAGCCTGGCAGCTCGACACGCACCAGCACCTGGCATGCTGCAGCGCACGCCGCTGCCTCTGGTGTGGCCGCCGTGGTGCTGGAGGAGCCGGCAGGGGTCACGGTGCGGCGGCTGGCAAGGGGCGGCAGGAGGGGCGCCCGCTCGAGCAGGAGCTCTGCCGCTGCATGGCGCTCGTCAGACTCCGCTGGCTGCGTCTTGGAGGGGCGTTGGGACCAGCGGGCGCTGCTAGCAAGGGCTGCGGCGGGCTCGGCGCGCAACAGGAGACGCCTGGGGAATCGAGGGTTGTGGGGGCGGTTGCGCGATTTGTGTGCGTTGTCCAGGGTGGCAGGCTCGCAGCTGCTTGCAGTCCCGCAGCAAGCCGGCTGCAGGCAAGCAGGTGGGGTTCAGTGAGTGGTAGCACAAGAGCATTGTTGCATAACGCAAGAGACAAGCCTTGCCGACCAACACAAAACCCATCACTAGTCACAGGCCCTGAAAGGCGCCCCGTCGCACCACGCCGTTGCCATGGGGCCAGCCTCGTCACCCAACAAGACCCCCTGGGGGGCTGACGGCACAATAAAGACTGGGCTGGCGATCAGGGGCGTTGCTGCCGGCAACGTCAGCCGTGGACGTGGCAGGCTCGTGGATGGCTGAGAGATTCCAGAGGCGGCAGGCTCGTTGTCATCGATGGTGACGGGGCCAACAGTATCGGGGCAGCCCGAGGTTGCAAATCCAAGGTTTAAAAGATCGGAGGGTCCCACGTCCCAGACAAGCTCTGTGATCAGTGTGTGTGTTTGGGGGGGGGAGTGCGTTTCGTGCGTTGGTGAGGATGCCTGATTGCAACCAAAATCGAGGCTTGTATGCTGCAGCAAAGCAAAGTGAGGCGCAGCAACCAAGGACTTTCCAACCTCACCAGTCAAGTAATACATGGATTCTAATCGCCAAGACCCATGCACACCTTCAGGGCCGCCGCCGCTTGGCGTCTGCCACACCACCGAGCCAACAACAAGGTGAGGTGGGTGTGCACTGCTGCAGTGTGGCACGGCTGCGACAGCACACGCCGCGTCATCAGCATCGTCGTCGCCGTCTGTGCTCTCGCAGTCAGAGTCCCTGGCCATTCCTGGCATGCTGCTGGCACTGCTCGTGCTTCCTGCGGACAGCGAACCTGTGCGGTTGTGAGCAACCGTCAGATGCAGCAGGAACAATATCGTCATGATGTGTCAGGGGCCTTGAGGGCGCTCAACACGTGCTGCGAGGCCCACCTGCTGCTCGCACACTCCAATGGCTTGCATGTGGCTCGTACGAGGCCCTGCCCAGGTCGCGATGGTCGACGCGGGTTGGCCGCAGATCACGGCCATGCAAACTGCTGCTGACGGCCCCCATGACGTCGGTTCCGGTGAGTTTCGAGACCAGAAAAAAAGCGTCCGAAATTACGCACGCGAGCACGAGTCGTCGAGACCACCAAACTTCGTAATGGCCGAGCTACAATGTACTACAAAGTTCGAGATCAATTACAAACAAGCTTTTGATAGGTGCTGGTAGGAAGCAGCGATTTTTATCAACGCTCCTGCCTCAGGGGAGGCACATGCAACGGAACAGGCGGCGGGACAACCGGAGAGTTTGCTCCAATGACGGGGTGCACATGTCCAAGAACCACAGACGTTCCTTGAAAATCACAAAACAAACATTCAGCCAAAAAATGAGCAGTGGCCCAATTTTCAGGCTCCAATGGTTGCAGATTGTATCAAGGGGGTGAGGCAGCAAAATTCTTCTCAATCTCATCACTCAACTTGTCAATGCAAGGTGCATGCACGTCATGGCTGAGGCATCACCTCCACCTCCACCCCGGCTGACGTTGAAGTGTGCGGCGTGAGGGACGCCGTGCATGTGACACTGCGTGCTGTGGAGACTTGCTGCTGGCTGATCACTGACTTCTGCCGCAGCATGCTCATCGCTGTCCCCAGCCGCAGCAGCGTCCTCACCTGTGTGGCCCGCGACAAAGCGAAAGGGGCAAGAAGGAGCGGTGGGAGCAGAGCAGGGAGTCAAGTCAGCAGCAGGCAGTCGGACTAGCTTGTCCTTCCAGCCGCATATGCGGGCACCAAACATGTCAATATGGCGCAGCGGCACTCTTCCAACGTGCTCAAGGCTGCTGCAGCAACCACGACCTGTCCGCGGGCGGCGCTGTGCTGAGGGATGACATTGCTGAGCAGCAACCTGCATAGGTCGGCAGGTAAATGTCCAAAGACCTATCGTGGCGCGCCCCCCGCCCCTCATGGAGCTCCATCGACAGCTGCTCGTGGACTACAATGCGTGGCTGTGGCAATGTGCTGCGGCTCACATTGACTGGCAGCTCAGCCACCATCCTGTCCATGTCAACGGGTGTTGTCTTTTCATGATCTAGGAAGCGGTCTGTTTCATCAACAATCTCGGTGCCCATGAGCTCCTCAATCACATCTGTGTGTGTGTGTGGGAGGGGGAGACAGAGAGAGAGAGAGAGAGTGTGTGAGTGTGTGTATGTGTGGGTGTGTGCGCGCGCACGTGCGTGCGTGCGTGCGTGCGTGCGAGCGCGCGTGCACGCGTGTGTGCGTGCGCGCGTGCAAGCGCCTTCTTTCGTACGGGAATGTAGCTATGCTTGATGAGAGGGCTCCAGCATACATAGCCACACATGCGGAGACAGCTGCCTGACAGGTCCCATGCCCCCCGCTCTGCCGCCAAAACATGGCCCCTAGTAACGCGTTGCTATGTGTGCACGCACCCTCCAGAGTGATGATTCCACAAGGCACCGTTCCAGCAGCTGCCCCTTGACGCGTTACCAGGCGGCCAGGGGAGTTGACACCCAGGTCGGCTGAAAATGATGAATCAGCCGCTGCTGCAAATGCCGAGGGGGTGCCGCTCGGCGACAGCGCCGGTGCCTGCTTAGCCACAAAGGGGCTCTTGGCTGCCGCTTTGGAGATGCCCACGCCGCCACCAGCTTGTATAAACGTGGGTGACCGGGTGCTTGACAGATGGCCTCGCAGCTTTGAAAACAAGCTTGCAAGGCGTCCACTGTCGACCGAGGCGGTAGTTTCAATATCAACCTCTTGTCTGCCAGGTGAGATTGCGGGTTGGATCTGCAAAGAGTGGTGGGACACGCGCCCTGCTGCGTCTGTGCCTGCAACACCCTGGCCGCCGCTCGCATCCAAGGGCCCCGCAAAGGGCGGGAGCATGCTGGCGCGCTGCAGTGCGTCGATGGTGGCGGCACGGCCCACGCGTGTGGTGTCGTCTTCGCTGCACCCAGGGGGTGCCATCAGGACCGCCAGGTGGCTGTGGCCAGTCTGCATGGTGCGAGTGCAACGAATGGGGCGCAGCGTGCACACTCATTGGTTCCTTGGATGCATGCCCTGAAAGTCCTTGAGGCTAAACACGCATACACGCACGCGGGCTGCTTCAGCGTGATCAGGCTTGTACCACTTTGAATAGTGCCCACTCCGTAAGTCTGGACGCATGCTGTATCCGACGCAACAGACCAAGGCCAGTGAAGATGCTCCAAGGGGTTCAATGCCCAAAAGGCTCCACTCAGCAGAACACATGCCTGTTTCTAAGCCTCCCACCTTGAAGAAGCGCAGGACGTCATACAGTGGCGCCATCGCCGGCAGCCGCGGCACCGGCCGCACGCGCAGCTCCCTGACGCGCGGCGGGTCTCCCTTTCCGCTCCACCGCCGCAGCAGCTCCAGCAACTCTTTCACCAGGATCAGGCCCACGATCTGGGTGCGGTCGTCGTCCCTGAGGTTGAATACAAAGTTGTCTGAGACCTTGCTTGCATAATATCACAGCCGGTGGACAACGCTCGCTCGACTGTGGCACGGCTCAGGCGCACCTTGTGACGGGGATGCGCGAGTACCCCGAGGCCAGGATGTCGTCGACCAGTGTGTCGTCCAAGGCGGCATTCTCGGAGATCGCAAACACCTTTGGAGGGCATGGAGGGTTGGGTCCAACACCTGACTCGATGACATGGCATGATGGGCAATGCAAAGGCGCTTGCATCGCATACTGGGGGGGGGGGCAGCGGTGGGGCGCTTGCAAGGGAGTACCCAAGCTGCCGCCCGCTACCAAGCCCAAGCGCCACCAAGTTCCGTGTGTGTCTACGCCCGTGTGGGGTCAGCAGTACAAGGGGGCGCAACCTTGCCTGTTCGTCTTGTTCTGGGCGTTGATTACCTTGGACAAGGGCGTCATCGCCACAGAGGCGGTCTTCATTGTCAGCTCCAGGGCCCCGCTCATGACCGCCACCTCATCGGCAGTCAGGGTCCCGCCCATCCCTGTGAGCGAGGAAGCGGTACCGGTGAGAGCGCCATCTCGCGCCCTTGCAACCGCCTGCGTGATGGCCGCTGTGCGCTCAACGCTCAGCAGACACAGATCACGGCCCGGTGGCTATTGCGAGAGGCCTCCGGTTTGTGAGGCCACAGACATGCATGTGTGCGCCATGCAGAGAGCGCGTTCAGATAGAACCACCATCGGCAGAGCAGCAGCGCTTCACTTGAGCTCAGCGCTCGAGGCCAGTCGTCCCCAGCAGCTGCGTGCCAACAGCGCAATCAAACGCACCGGCGTCCTGGCCGTGCAGGCTCAAAATCGTCTGAAGGTGCTGGCGCGGAAACAGTGGGTCTTCACGACCAAGCGCCTTGTGCAGCACCCAGCCCAGCGGCCAGCTGACGGGCGCGCAAACCCACATCAGCATGCGCACGACGGGCGCGACGCTGGCGCCAACGGCGACGCCGTGCCTGCTGCAGATTGCCTGCGGGATGATCTCGCCTGCGTTGCATATCAAAGGGACATCAGGGCAGAAGACGGGTGTGACAAAGTCCTCAGGAGGCCGTCGTGTGCAATCGCTGGCAAATGTGGCATGGATCTTATGCTGAATCTTGTTTGGCTGGCCAGCGAGCGGGAACGGTGGCTGAGGGGGGGGGCAGTTGTTGGATCAAGGTGGGAATGTGGGGCTGGGGTAATATGGGTGGGGTGATTGCTAAGGGGTGGTGTGAATGAGGGAGCGGTGGTGTCAATCATGCAGGTCGGGCACGGACGCACCAAACAGCAGGATAGCGGTGACAGACAGGAGGATGGCCGCTACAGGGTCCAGCAGCTTGTCGAGGAAGATGGGCAGCTGGTGGGAAGGTGGCGGTGATGGTGGTGGTGTGTGTGTGTGGGGGGGGGGTACAAGGGACAGGAACAGGGGCAGGGCACGGCGTGTCGGTGCACTGCTGCACGGTGGAAGTACGGAAACGATATGGGCCAAGCTACTCTGCCAACGTGGCACTGCACTGGTCACCCTCAAACAGGCCAGCCTCTGCACTGCAGCAGCTCACTGTTTCCATGCAAGCTGCGTTGCACATCACCAGCGTGCACAGCAGCCAGTGGGGGTTGGACACCAGAGGCAGCAGCTTCGCGGCGCGCTTCTGTTCAAGAGGCGTGCCGCTGCGCCGCAAGACCTGCAGAGAGGGATAGGAGTCAGTGCACCCGGGCGGAGTGCTGGGGGACATAGGCATCATCGGTTTTACCCATCTGCGATTCGACACATCCCGGTCGTCACCGACATGTCCAACCTCTTGATTGCTGTTGTGAAGCATTTGCTGCCTCATGCCTGTGCGACTGTTACGCTGCTGGATATTGAGCCTCCGTCAGTTCAGAACCCTGTGATCCATTCCCAGTCAGCACCCAACCGGCAGCTACCATGCAGCTGCTGCGCCCACCTCTAGCTCAAGGCGGTCGAGGGACAGGAGGCCCAGTGTGAGGCCTGCGACTCGGAAGGGGAGCGGGCGATCGATCAAGTCGCATTCGTACGCAACAGCTGCGGAGTCCCACTATGATTGATGACACCTTGGCTGAAGGACTGCTTTGTTGTTGCTTCTAGGTTCATGGTGGGGGAGGAGGGGCCGGGCCCCGCAGGCGGCGTGCCCTCGCGCAGCGTGCGCACCCGAGAAGACGCCTGAGAAGAGCACTAGAAACGTGACTGTGACGGCATAGCCGACCTCCATTGCGATTTCCAAATGCTCGTGGTTGTACGCCCCTGTGGGCGTCACAGCATACTGGACCATGGCTGCCCCTGCGCGGCGGCTGTGCTGACACGTGCGCGCACGTGGCGTCACGCGCTGTTGCAGCGACCGCTTCTGCCGGTGACCACAGCGCGTGCCGGCTGCGACTAGCGGCCGCTGATCAAGAGGAGCTAAGGGTGCATCTGCTTTTCTTTCTCACTCACATTATCTAGAAACTGAGCGAAGCACGGGCGAGCATTGGCCGAGCCGCGTTCCGGTGGCGGTTTCGAAGATAACAGTGCTTGCTTTTCTAACCTAAAAACTGTTTGATGAAATCTTACATTCACCCAAGACGACGTCGTGGGTTCTCGTGGCCAGGCTGGGAATAAGCCCGTGGGCATCACAGGGGCAGCAGTACTGGGCGGCTTGTGCCCAAAGCCTTGAGCCCGCAAGCTGTCGCCTCTGCCGTCGCTGGCCTCTGGCAACAAGACCTGCGATGCACGGCTGCAACATTGCATCAACAACCTCATGGTGGCGACATTTTTGCTCTCTGTGCCGAGAGTCGTTGCCAGCGGGGGCATCGGTAGCGCGCACACTGCAGCTGCTGCTGCGCCTTTACGCACAGAGGGCGATACTGTTGTGGCGGCTGCCGCGCCACCTCGTCAAAACCAGCACGGTCCTGGCGGCACGCGGCGAGCGGATGGGGCATCTGGGTGAATGTTGAGGGACCTGGCCCCATGAGCTTCTGGCCCCACCTCTGTGCGCACAGCGCGCTTCATCCAGCCGACAGGGTCGGCGCCCATTTCAACGCGCACACGCGACGCGCCCCGGCGCCGCAAGCGGGGGCACACAAACCGGTGCAGGCGCCAGGCGCAACGGGTAAACCAAGCAGCCTCCTTGTGAAAGCATTGGGTCGTATCCCTGATATCCACCCTTTCCGCGTCCTGGCCCGCTCTCACAAAACGCCACACGCAGCTGCCGCGGTTCACGCACGCCAGTGAAGAGAGTAATTACATTTGTGCACCAGGCAGCAGGGCGGGCGCGGGAAATGACGGCGCCGGTGCTGGGCCGGCCGAGGAACGACAAGTGGCATGATGGTACAGGAGAGTGAAGCGCCCCTGCACCTGTGACGAAACGCGGGGCAGCCAGCGCGCCCAAGACGGGCGCCCCGCGCGGCGGCTGCGCGGAAGGGCACTCAGCACGCCGCGGCGCGGCGCGGGCGCGAGCCGAACCCGGGGATGCCCCGCCGCAGGCCCCCGGCGAGCCGATGCGTAGGAACCGAAAAGCAGCCGCCAGTCCGCCTTCGGACTGGCGGCCGCACCATCGGACTGGCGGCTGCACCGCCTGAAGCAGCGGCGCACAGCACCAGAGCATGGGGGCGGGGCGAGGGGTCTCGTCGCGGGCTGCTCCCCGCGGGCGTCGGCTTTGAATCAACAATGGCGCCTCAGGAACCGCAACCGTCTCGGTGCCATGGTTTCCAAGGGCTGAGTGTGTGATGAGCCGTTGCCGCGGCGACGCCCGCAGCCGGCCGCCGCACGGCATGGGGCCCGTGGGCACTCCCCGCGGCGGCTGGCCCAGGAGGGGGGCAAAGCCGGGCGAAAACAGCGACACGCGGCCGCAGCAGGAGCGCACGGCCGCGGCAAGGGCGTGTGGGTTCGTCTCGGTAAATAGGCAGCGGTGCGCGCCCGGTCGGCCAGGCGGCGCGCCCCGCGCTCACTCCTCACAAAGACTGCCCGCGCGAGTCTCGGCAGCAGCCCGGCCCCGCGCGCCGGCTGGAATTATGGCAGCCTTGCGCGCGCGGCCGGGCCAACGTGCGGATCGGCGGCGAACGGAAGAATGCACAGGGGAGACCAGTGGCTTCGACGGGGCACGTAGGCACGCGCCGCGAGTTGCATGGCGCCCCCCGTTGCCCGCGGCGATGTTTTGTTTCGTTGGTGCAGTTGGCGCGAGGCGCCGATTTGGTGCGACTGGAGAGCCAAGGCGGCGGCCGCGCGCGACGAAGCCAGGCGCGCGGCCGCGCCCCTTTGTTAAGACCTTGACCGACATGGCTTTCAAAACAACAGATGCAAGGCAGGCGCCACGACAGGTGGGCGGTGGGGCGGCCCGTCGACGAAGAGGACTGCGCTTTTGGTGGGAGGGCAAACGCTGCCGCGGTGCAGGGCAATGCTGCGTCGTTGTTGGGGTTTCACGACCCAAAAGGAGGGCCGCGCACGGCCGGCAGCCCGAGCCGGCACCTGGGAAAGGGGCGGCCCGCGCCCCAGCCGACACATGGCCGACCCCAGGCAGAGAGCTGCTGTAAAGAGCGGATCAGCGAGAATGAATCAAGCTCGGAAACAACAACAAAAGCTGTTCACGCGGGCGGGACGGGGGGGGGCTCCCGCACGCATCACAGGGCCCGCCCCATGGGGCCCCGCGCCGCGGACGGGAACAAACGAACTCAAGCTTCGGGAGGCAGCCTCGGGTTTGGTGGTGGCGAGTGGGGGCGGGGGTGGGGTGCGGAAATGCGGGTCGTGTCGGCCGCCTCGTGCCGCTCTCGCGGTCGCTGGGGCCTTCAGATGCTAAATCCTTCAGCGGCAGCTGCCCCATCAGAAAGGGCCCCCGCCGCCCCGCGCCGGCCGGAGCCCAACCAGACCTCGTCAGATCCCGCCAGATCAGATGATGAAGTCCAAGACCGCGTCCTCGTCGGCGCCGCCCAGCCCGGGCGCCCCCAGGTCGCCGAACAGCTCGAGCGCCGCGTTGCGCGCAAACTCAACGCGCACGTCCCCGCCGTCGTCCATGCTGTAGCGCCACTCCCAGCTGGGGGCGTCGCCCATGAGCGGCAGCAGGGTGGTCTGCAGGCCGTTGCCGCGGGGGGCGGAGGTGACGACCATGCGGTAGCCATCGGGCACCTCGAAGACCTGGCG